CAACTTATTATACTGTACTCTCTTACAAGTTCTTTACTTAACAAGATTAGTACTTTGTTATTCTATCTTACTATAGAATTGATTGTCTTTACTATCGGTTAAACATCCATAACTCTTTTCCACCTGAATTACTCGGCAATCACACGGCTTACCACGAACCCGCTGACTCGCCCTAACCCGGATCGAGTCCTAGCTAAGTATAGTCGAACCCCGTGTAACACTTTGACCACCACCGAATTTAGTGGAGGAGTTTAACCAATAGTTCGCTCGAATAAGATTACCATAATGGCCCACAACGGAAACCAGTTCACCCAGGGACAGGAGCCCACGGCTGCGGCCCCTACGCCCTCACCAGCTCTCGATGACGAGATGCTCGAAGGAAGTGGTTCGGATTCTGACTCTTCAGATGACGAGAACAACGACACGAACCAGGCCAAGGTACGAGATCTTAAGCGAAGGCTACGCATGCAGGAAAAGCAGCATAGCGACCAAGCCAAGCAGATGGCAGCCATGCAAGAAATGATGGCCTAGATAGTAAGCCAGCTTATGGCTACGCCTAACGAGAAACCACCCCCAAAACCCAAGATGGCAGTACCCAAGAAATATGAAGGAGGACGAAACGAACTAAGGACGTTCCTTACCAACATCGACCTGTACTGTGGATTTAACCAAGTACCCAACAACTAGGAAAAGATCCTAATGGCTAACACACACATAAAGGGCAAAGCAGCCATGTGGATGCAGCTATATGTCGAGGATTTCCTGACCTCACCCACCACCCACGGAACTAGGGAAGAAACTAAGGCCTTGTTCAAGGATTAGGAAAGTTTCAAGGAAGAAATGGGACGCATCTTTGGGGAAGTAGACGCCAAGAACCAGGCAGAGAAAGCGATAACTCGCCTGAAGCAGACCAAGTCAGTCTCGAAGTATACGGCAGAATTTAAACAGCTACAGGCAAGAATCAATTGGGATGACGCTGCGCTACGAACTGTATTCGAGGCAGGACTGAAGGAAAATATAAAAGACGGTCTTGTACACTATAAAAAGCCAACAACGCTTCACGCTCTGATAGAGCTAGCCACGCGAATTGACCACAGGCTGTGGGAACGATATAAACAGAAAAAGACGTTCCAGCCCACGACGGCCAATATGAAGAAGCAACGCAACCACAAAGACAGAGATGGAGACACCATCATGACTAGCAAGGTGCAAGAAAACAAGAACTGGAACACCTGAGGAAGGGGCTAGGATGGCCTTTCTAAGGAAGAACGCCAAAAGCGTTACGAAAAGAAGGCATGTCTCCAATGCGGCGAAGCAGGACACTTCCGCAGAGACTGCCCAAAAAACGAAGTCAGGCAAGGTCAAATCAAGATCGGGATGATCAGGAGTGGGACGCCTTACCCACTAGTCACGGAACCCGACGACAGCCTTAGTGACTTAGACTTGTATGAGGAGGCACGCCAAGAGAGTGACGAGGCCTTCGAGATGGTACAAGAAGCTCTAGGAGCCAAGAATGTCCGGTAGGACATACCACAGGAAACAGATTAGAAGATTGACGGGGCTGAAATCCAGAGCCGCCTAAGGAATCACCAATGCTGGGTCTGCGGAGACGCCGCACACCAGGCAGACGATTGCCATCAGCAGGGACGTATCGCGATTACGGGCCCTAACGCTGAAGAGATTGGGTATCAAGCGATTTACGAACAACCACGCTTTAAGAGCCCTAAAGCTTAAATTAAGGAACAAAACCCTTACTTGTTTAAGGCACGCATGACGCAACACAAAGATTTGCACTAGGTTGACTGCAGCTGGAAGAAATGCAAGAAGCATTACTAGGAAAAGCAGAAATTAAGAAAAAACGACAATGACTGTTGCCACACACATCTAGAGACATATGAGTGTCTAGTGGAGCAATGTCATATCCATGGACCCGAGAAGCAAGATCGAGCTCACCAACGGCTGTGTTGGGTGAACTGCGAAAGCATGTGTTAGTATCACAGGACGCAGTATAAGGAAGCCTTGAACCCGGCCAGCTACTACCACGGAACGGTAAACGCTGAGGAATGTAATGCAACGGAATATTGTATGCACCGAGAAAAGCAGTCGAAAGTCACGACGTCTTGAATGCCGAAGCAACGAGTTAAGGACAGTGAAGAGCGTCATGAACTCTTACACTGGTCCTTCTGCTACAACGACTATTGCACAATACACCAAGACGCCAAGTACGGCGCAGGCTACTTTCCTAGACAGAGGAAGAGTAGGCCGAC